TCGCCATTACACCGCCTAATCCGCATCCTCCCGTTTCTCCTGCTGTCATGTCTTCCTCTCCTACTTATCCGCGAGCCACTGCGATCTGCGGTCTGCATAACTCCGCACCAAGGGGACCAGTCCCCCTCCTCCTCCTCCTCCTCCTCCTCCTCCTCCTCCTCATCATCATCATCATCATCATCATCATCATCATCATCAGCATCAGCATCATCATCACCAGCACCAGCACCAGCACCAGCATCAGCATCAGCATCAGCATCATCATCATCATCATCATCATCATCATCATCATCATCATCATCATCCTCCTCCTCCTCATCCTCCTCCTCTTCCTCCTCCTCCTCCTTCTAGCAATTTCGCGCCCGACACGGGGCGCGCGAGGGTGTTGTGCAGCGCAAACTTCGAACTGGCGATGCGCTCAGGGAGAACCCATGAAGAACGTGGAGTCCAACATCATCAACTACCAACTACCCTGTTGAGACTGTCGCCAGGGCCCGCGCCATCCTCTCGCCACTCCTCCTGCTCCTCCCCTCCCCTCCCCTCGTCACCCTGGCGAGCAGCAGCGCAGGCCAGAGGGGCGCAGCTGCGGCTGCCGGGCCGGCCCCCTCCGGGCGAGCGACGTGAGAGCCCGCACGGGCCAACGTCATCGGCCACAGGGCCGGAACCAGCACGTCTGTGCGGGAAGGCCGAGCAGTGGTAGCAATCTCTGTCGCTACTTCGCGACTGTCGCTACTTCGCGATATGGAAGGCGAAGCGCAAGCCCGATGTCATCATCTACAGCGCCGGGATCAATCAGAGCGTGCGAGAAGGGAAGAGAGCGACAGGCGGCTCAGGCATCATTCTGCGAGAAGCGGGACGCAAAGCTGGAGCCCGATGTCGTCCGCACCAGCGCTGCCAGCAGTGCGTGCGAGCAGGGAGGGCAGTGGCGGCAACGTCTGTCGCTACTCAACATGTGGAACGCGAAGCTAGAGCCCGTTATCAGCTACAGCGCTGGTATCAGGGCGAGCGAGACGGGCGAACGGCGAGAGGGGCATCTGGCAGTACTCTGCGGGAAGCTGGAGGAGCAGATGGAGCCCCAGGTGGCAACAACAACGCTGGAAGCAGAGCCTGCGAGAAGGGCGAGCAATGGCAGCAGTCTCTGTCGCTTTTCTGCGGGCGGCGGAAGGCGAAGCTAGAGTCCGATGTCAGCTACAGTGCTGGAACGGGAATACGCGAAAGAACACACAACGGCAGGCTGCCCTGACAACATCCTGAGGTAATCGGGAGGCGAAGCTGGAGCCGAGGTCGTCAGTATGGGCGCAGAAGTTCGGGCTCCAGGCAAGCAGATGGCGACACATCAGCTACAACACTGGAAACAGCTCGTGAGAGAAGGGCGGCATCGAACGACTTTATCGGCTACAACATTAAGAGTAGTTCATGCGAACAGGAGCTGTTGGAGGAAGCTCGAGCTCCAGGCAGACCGTGAGCGACATATCAGCTACAATGCTGGGCGTAGTTCATGGGAGAAGGCAGGCAGTGGTAGTGCACATTGCATACTGTGCAGTATGTTCGGGCAAGCACGTGGTGGGTGATGTTTCAGCTGCGTGCAAGAATGCGAGAAGGTCGGTGGGAGGGTCAGCACCCGACCACATTAAGAATGTGGGGTGAGATCCCCAGTGGACTTTGACAGGTCCCTTCTGCACGGTAGAGGTATGAGCAGAGGGCACCTTTCGGTTCCATCCCCTTATCCTCCTCATCGTCATCCTCATCCTCACCCTCATCCTTACCCTAATCCTCATGCTGTTGCCCCTCCTCTTCCAACTCCTCCTCCTCCTCCTCCTCCTCCTCCTCCTCCTCCTACTACTACTACTACTCCTCCTGCTTCCTCCCCTCCTCCTCATCATCAGGATAAGCATCATCATCAGCATCAGCATCAGCATCATCAGAATCATAATCATCATCAGCATCATCACCAACATCATCATCATCATCATCATCCGAATCAGCATCATCATCATCATCATCAGCATCATCATCAGCAGCAGCATCATCATCAGCATCATCATCATCAGCATCATCATCATCGGCATCAGCATCAACAGCAGCCTCATCATCATCATCATCATCATCATCATCATCAACATCATCATCATCATCATCATGATCATCATCATCATCATCAGCAGCAGCATCATCATCACCATCGCGATCGTCGTGTCATCGTCATCGTCAGCATCATCCTCATAAACCCGAGCTCCTCATAATCAGCAGCAGCATCACCAACATCGTCGTCGACTGCATCGTCAGCGTCGTTACTGTCACTATCATCATCAACATCATCATCAGCATCAGCATTATCATCAGCATCATCAGCATCATCATCTGCATCGTCACCATCAGCAGCATCAGCATCATCATCAGCATCATCAGCAGCATCAGCAGAATCAGCAGCAGCATCATCCTCATCGTCATCCTCCTCATCAGCATCATTAGCATCATCATCATCATCATCAGCAGCATCATCACAAGTATCACTATCAAAACGACCAGCATCGTAATCAGCATCAGCAGCATCAGCATTACCACCATCTGATCAACATCATCAGCAGCAGCAACATCATCAGCATCGTCATGTGCATGGTCAGCAACGGCATCAAGAACATGTTCATCACCGTCACCATCACCATCAGCAGCATCAGCATCATCAGTATCAGCATCAACATCATCATCATCATTGCCAACAGCAGCATCACCATCATCAGCACCAGTTTCATCATCAGCATCGTCATCGATAAATCAGCATCCTCATCATCACCATCACCATCAGAGTCATCGGCATCGCAAGCATCAGCATCAGCAATCAGCAGCAGCATCCGCGCAATCATCATGTTCAGAAGCAGCATCAACATCAGCATCAAAAGCATCGCCATCATCATCAGCATCATAATCGTCATCAACATGATCACCACCACCACCATCATCATCATCATCATCATCAGCATCATCATCATCATCATCATCATCATCATCCTCGTGGTCGTCGTTGCCGGCATCATAATCATAGTCATTATGATCAGCATTATCACCATCATCATCAACGTCATCAACATCACCATTATCAGCAGCATCATCAGCATCCTCATCAGCAGCATCAGCAGCATCCGCATCGTCGTCGTCATAATCATCATCAGCATCGTCATGTGCATGGTCAACATCGTCATCATCACCACCACCATCAGCATCATCAGCATCAGCATCAGCATCAGAATCCTCAACACTATCATCACCAGCATAACCTTCACCATCCTCATCCTCATCCTCCTCCTCCTCCTTGTTCGGCTCATCATCATCCGCGTCCTGTCTCCTCAACCTGTTTCATCGTCCAGCTCCTCACCTTGTTCCTCCTCCTCCTCCTCCGCCTCCTGCTCCTCATCCCGTTCCACCTGCACTTTCTGAGGTTCCTGCCCATCACTCCCTCCTCCTTTTACACCACCACCTCCACCTCCCTGATCGACGCCGAAAAGTAAGGGGAGAGGCTAGGGAGGACGACGACGACGATGACGACGACGGCTAGCAGGACGACACCGACGGCCCCAACCACCACCAAAACGGAGACGGCGGCGAGATGAGAGATGTCGACGTTGCTGATGGCGACGACGGCGACGGCGACGACGACGACGACGACGACGGCGGCGGCGGCGGCCGCCCGACGACGGCGACGACGAAGACGACGGCTGCTGCTGCGACGGGGAGAAGCACGCTGAGCCCTCGGCCTGCCGCGCTCCACGGCCTCCGACACGCACGCGGCCTGGCGGACGACGACGACGCCGACCACCACGACGTCCACGACGACACCGACGGCGCCGACGACGTCTGGCGGGCGCACGGCGACGTCGCCAGCGAGGGCGCCGCCGACTGCGCCGACGGCCACGAGGGCTGCCTGGCTCCTGGCCTGGCAGGGCCGTGGCGGCCTGCCGTAGGCCGCGGCGACGACCGAAGAAGCGGTACATCCAAAGATCGGAGACGAGGAGGAAACGAGAAGGAAACGCGGAGGAGACGAGGAGGAGACGAGGAGGAGGAGGAGCAGGAGGAGGAGGAGGAGGAGCAGGAGGAGGAGGAGCAGGAGGAGGAGAAGGGGAGGGGTCGCCCAAGGTCGGTGCATTGGCCTCGCCGCCGCAGCGTTCGGCACCGCCGCGGCGGCGCTCTCCCCAGCGGGGTTCCGCCTCTGCGTCGAGCACGTGTCGGAGGGTTCCGGCGCCCTGGCCCACGGAAGAAGTCGGAGAAGAACAGAAGAAGCAAGGGCTATGCACAAATCAAATGTCGGCGCTCCGCGCGGACCTCCGACAATTTGTGCTCATGCCGGCTTTTTGGCGGCGAGCGAGGGGGGGAAATGAGGAGGCGAAGGCCTTCTCAGAAAGACAGCAGGGCTTCTCAGAAGACCTCTGGCCTTCTGCGAAGTTTTCGGTGTCTTCGGGGAAGGCTTGAGAAACTTCTCAGAAGGCCGGGGGACTTCCGAGCCTTCTGAGAAGGTCTGGCCCTTCTCACTTCCCCCTCGGGCTCGCCGCCGAAAAGAGTCTGGGCAGACTTTCCGGCAGGATCTAGAGGTGGGCGGCCAGCGGAACTAACTCAGGGGCGGGGGGGGGGCATCGAGCTTTGATCGGCAATAGATCGCCGATAGATCGGTGGTAGGCCCCTGGCTACGAAACCGCACACTCCTGGCCAGGATGGGCTGCCAGGCCCACATCGGCCACGCATGGGTGGTTGGGGGTCGACGCACCCTCTCTGAGCCTATTCCCCTCTCTGAGCCTCTTCCCCCTTTGACTTCCCTTGATGAGCCGACTTTCCCAACACTCTGGACACTCGTATGTTTCATTCACCCCGGACGCTTGGACCCATCGTGAGGCCCTCTTGTTCATGCGGGGTCTCGCTGGACACTTCCTCATGTTCTATGACGAGGGCCTTGAAAATGCGCAACAGCGAGGCCGTATCGGGGGTCTGCTGGGGCCATGCTGAGGGCTCTTCTTTTTATCGAGCACACCGGCATGCCGACGATATGGCCCTCTGCGCACTCACGTGACACGAACAGTCTGCCTCAGGATCCATCGTCCCGAGAGGACGATGACGCTGTAGCAACTGCTGGCCCCACGTGAACACCAAAACGAAGAGAAGTCAGGGTCGCGACCCAAGCCGCTAGATGACCTCGGCCTGGCAAAGAAGCCCCATGCCCAGAGTACTAGTACCGGTATGTATCGGGCTTGAAGGGGCCAGTGACCTTCACACCAATGTAGTCGGCCTGCTCCTTCGTGAGGGTCGTGAGCTCGGCACCCAGCGCCGGCAGGTGCAGGCTTGCAACTTTTTCGTCGAGGTCTTTGGGGAGAAGGTACACGTTGTTCTTGTAACCCTTCTCCTTCGCCGTGAGCAGGTCAATCTGCGCGAGGACCTGATTTGTGAACGAGCAAGACATCACGAAGGACGGGTGTCCGGTGGCGCAACCGAGGTTCAGCAGCCGACCAGCCGCTAGGACGATGATGCCGTGCCCGTCTGGGAAGACGTAGCGGTCCACCTGCGGCTTGATGTTCTCCACCTTGATGCCTGCGAACTTCTCCAGGTTTTCCATCTCGATCTCATTATCGAAGTGGCCGATGTTGCCGACAATCGCATTGTTCTTCATCTTCTTCATATGCTCCAAAGTAATAATCTTGAAGTTTCCCGTGGTGGTCGTAAAGATGTCGATCTCGCCAACAACGCTCTCCATCGTAACCACCTGGAAGCCCTCCATGCACGCCTGGAGCGCACAGATGGGGTCACACTCAGTGATCAGCACCCTGGCACCAGCACCGCGCATGGCGAACGCGCAGCCCTTGCCCACGTCACCGTAACCACAGATCAGCGCACGCTTGCCCCCGATCATCACGTCTGTGGCGCGCATGATGCCATCTGGCAGCGAATGCCTGCAACCGTAGACATTGTCGAACTTGGACTTGGTCACGCAGTCGTTCACATTGATGGCTGGGAACAAGAGCTCGCCCTTTGCAGCCATCTCCTTCAGCCGATGGACGCCAGTGGTGGTCTCCTCGCTGACACCCTTGCACTTCGCGGCCATGCGCGAGTACTTAGTCTTGTCGACTGGGATAGAGTCCCGCAGCAGCTGCAAAATACACTTGAATTCGGCGTTGTCCGTGCTGGCAGGATCGGGCAGGGATCCGTCCTTCGCGAACTTTTCCTCGAACTCCTTACCCTTGTGGATCAACAGGGTGGCGTCACCACCGTCGTCGACGAGCTGGTCGCAGCCGTCCTGACCGGGCACGGTCATCATCTGCTCTGTACACCACCAGTACTCCTGGAGCGTCTCCCCCTTCCAGGCGAAGACGGTGGCTGTCTCGGCCTTCGCAATGGCTGCGGCGGCATGATCCTGAGTGCTGAAGATGTTGCAGGAGCACCAACGCACCTTGGCTCCCAAGGCCTGCAGCGTCTCGATCAGGACGCCGGTCTGGATGGTCATGTGGAGGGAACCGTTGATGTTCATGCCCTTGAAAGGCTGCTTCGGGCCGAACTCCTTGCGGGCCGCCATGAGACCCGGCATCTCGTGCTCCGCCAGGGAGAGCTCTTTGCGGCCGAACTCGGCCAGGCCCATGTCCTTGACCTTGGACTCTGCCATGGTGCACGAGGGATGAATCGGCTGGCTTCGCGGTCTCCAGTTCAATGCCTGCGCGGGCGCGCCGGGGCCAGACCTCTCCTAGAGCCAAAATTGTCAGGGATCATGTTGGGGGCCTCTGGGAAGGTCCTGGAATCCTCTTCGGCCATCTTGGGATCCTCTGGGCCGTCTTGGGGGCCTCCTGGGGCCGTCACGGGGCCATTCTCAGGCCCCAGTTAGACCGTCTGGGGGCCCTCTTGGGCCGTCTTGAGCTCGTCTGGGAGCCCTCTGGGACCGTCTTGGGGCCCTCTTGGGCTGCTTGGGCGCCTCCCGGAGTTTTGGGGGTTGCCGTTGGGGTTTGTCTTTGTGGGTTTGGGGCCCTCTTGGACAAAGTTAGGAACTCTGAGCGGCGGATAAGCAGGAATCAATAATGTCAGGGAATCAATGGTGTCAGCCTCTCGGGCCTTCCAAGGCTCCCTGGGGCCATCTAGAGAGCCTTTTGGGAGCTGTTCTGGGCTGTCTGGAGCCGTCTTGGAAGAGTCGGAGCTGTCCTCAAGGTCTCTTGTCGCTTACTCGTGCCCTTTGTGGGAACCCTGGGGCTGATTTCAGAGCCCGTTCCAAAATTTGAGTTTCCATATCCGCCACCGTGCCCTAGGGCACGATTTGGAAGTCCTCAGGTCCCTAAAATGATCCGTCCTCAGTCCTGACTGAAAATTATTGAGGAGCCAGACCCTAAATGCCCAAATTTAATGGGGCATGTCTCGTGCCGGGAAGTGTTCTCGCGTAATCTTTACGAGGGCCCCTGGGGGGGGGCAAGAGGTCTTCAATAGTCACCCAAGAGTGTCCAAGAGGCCTGTGAGTCGGCCCAAGATCGCTCCAAGACGCCCAATTGCCATCGGGACCCCAAGATGCTCCCAGAGAGCCCCAAGAGGCCCCCCAAGAGGGCCCCGAGAGGCCAAAATCATTGAAGATCGTAGGGTGTTCGACTGATTTTAGCATTCTCGGGCTTTCGACGCTCCAAGACTGCCCCAGAGGCCTCCAAGATCGCCCCAAGAAGGCCCAAGAGGCCCCGAGCGGGCCCCCAGACGGCACAGGAGGACCCAAGACGGCCCGAAAGGTCCCCAAGGCGGCCCAAGAAGCATCCAAGACGGCCCCAAGAGGGGGCCAAGAGGAAAAGCGAAGGCGCCCTGGGGCCACGATAGCCCAAAGACGACGGAGACGCCCCCAAGACGCTGCGAGGGCCCCCCCCAAGATGTCCCGTAGATCAATAAAAGCAGCGATCGCTTGGGTTGCAGTCTTCGCCATCACGTCCCTCCCTCATGCGTCCTCTTCCTCTTCCTTTAACTCGTCCTCTTCCCTTCCTTTTCCTTCCCTCTTCCTCTTCCTCTTCCTCGTTCTCGCCTTAACTGCCCCGCGAACCCTCCCCCGTCCTCCTCAGAATTGTTTGCAGAGACTCCTCCGAGGCGAACTTCTGGAAGACCTCGCGAAAGCTTTGTAGGGGCTCCTTGGGCGCCTCTGGAGACGTCCCTGGCGCCTTTTGGCGGCCTCTGAGGAGATCCTCGGGCCACCATGCCGCGAACCGTGGTCTCGGGTCACGGTTTGAATGCTTTCAGAAGGCGTCTTGGCAGTTTCTGAGCCCTCTTGGGCCGTCTTGGGGCTCGCCAGGAAGCCTTTTGAGGTCGTCGCGAAACGGTTCTCAGTGCCTCTCGAGCGTTCTCGGACACCCAGTAAACCAAATAACCGAGCATCCCAACATCTTCTGCTTCTGACAACCCCTTGGGGGTGATATTTGGGCCGTCTTCGGGCGAATTGCGGGGATCCGGGGCCGCTGGAGGCCATCTTGGACCTTGTTTCGGGGTCTCTTGAGACCGCCGCCGACCCGTTTGTACGGCTTAGTAGGAACTTCCAAAGGCCTAGAAATCGCGCGTGACCCTCTTAGGCTAATCCGTCAAGCCTCAGTTCTCAATCCTGAAGCTCAAACTTGACGGGACACAGACCCGTAGCTCTCAAGTCTCTCGAGCTTGCCGCGCGCCTTGGGGCCCCGTCGCGTTTTCCCACAGGACTTCCTCGGGCCCAACAGGGCCCCAAGACGGGCCAAGAGCGCCCCGAAAAGCCCCCGCAAGACCACGCGCGCAGGATTATTTTGAACACTGGCGTTGCAAAACCATGTGTTACAATACGTTTTCGGGAAACTCGTTTTTGAGGACCACGCGAAAACGAAGGCGTGTAAAGGATCTCGGCACGCGCGCACGAAAACGCGCGCGCACGACGCCCCAGTTGTTCGCTAGGGATTCTTGCGACCGCGCGCGCGCAAGGGCGCTCGAGCGATTTTGACATGCGCGCGCAAGAGGCCCGCTCGGTAGCTGTTGATGAAGAACCAACAGTCCGAAAAACCTGTTATTGTTTTCAAATATCCCGGCAAAGCAACCTAACAGCGATGTGTAGGAGCATATCCGGAAGCATTCCCCTGAAGATTCAGATGAGAATCCAGTTGTAGAATTCTGCTGTTCTCGCAGTCGTAGTCGCATTCGCGATGACAGTCGCAGTGGCAACGGCAGTCGCAGTCACAGCCTCAGCCTCAGCCAGCCTCAGCCTGCCTCAGCCTCAGCCTCAGCCTCAGCCTGCAGCCTCAGCCTCAGCCTGCCTCAGCCTCAGCCTCAGCTTTCAGCCTCAGCCTCAGCCTCTCAGCCTCAGCCTCAGCCTCGCCTCAGCCTCAGCCTCAGCCTCAGCCTCAGCCTGCCTCAGCCTCAGCCTCAGCCTCAGCCTGCCTCAGCATCAGCCTGCCTCAGCCTCAGCCTCAGCCTGCCTCATCCTCAGCCTCAGCCTGCTTCAGCCTCAGCCTCAGTCTGCCGTCAGCCTCGGCCTCAGCCTCAGCTTGCCTCAGCCTCAGCCTGCATCAGCCTCAGCCTCAGCCTCAGCCTGCCTCAGCATCAGCCTGCCTCAGCCTCAGCCTCAGCCTGCCTCAGCCTCAGCCTCAGCCAGCTTCAGCCTCAGCCTCAGTCTGCCTTCAGCCTCGGCCTCAGCCTCAGCCTGCCTCAGCCTCAGCCTGCATCAGCCTCAGCCTCAGCCTCAGCCTGCCTCAGCCTCAGCCTGCCTCAGCCTCAGCCTCAGCCAGCCTCAGCCTCAGCCTGCTTCAGCCTCAGCCTCAGTCTGCCTTCAGCCTCGGCCTCAGCCTCAGCCTGCCTCAGCCTCAGCCTGCATCAGCCTCAGCCTCAGCCTCAGCCTGCCTCAGCATCAGCCTGCCTCAGCCTCAGCCTCAGCCTGCCTCAGCCTCAGCCTCAGCCTCAGCCTCAGCCTCAGCCTCAGCCTCAGTCTGCCTTCAGCCTCGGCCTCAGCCTCAGCCTGCCTCAGCCTCAGCCTGCATCAGCCTCAGCCTCAGCCTCAGCCTGCCTCATCAGCCTCAGCCTCAGCCTGCCTCTGCCAGCCTCAGCCTGCTTCAGCCTCAGCCTCAGTCTGCCTTCAGCCTCGGCCTCAGCCTCAGCCTGCCTCAGCCTCAGCCTGCATCAGCCTCAGCCTCAGCCTCAGCCTGCCTCAGCATCAGCCTGCCTCAGCCTCAGCCTCAGCCTCAGCCTCCTCAGCCTGCAGCCTCAGCCTGCCTCAGCCTCAGCCTCAGCCTGCAGCCTCAGCCTCAGTCTGCCTTCAGCCTCGGCCTCAGCCTCAGCCTGCCTCAGCCTCAGCCTGCATCAGCCTCAGCCTCAGCCTCAGCCTGCCTCAGCATCAGCCTGCCTCAGCCTCAGCCTCAGCCTGCCTCAGCCTCAGCCTCAGCCTCTGCCTTCAGCCTCGGCCTCAGCCTCAGCCTGCCTCAGCCTCAGCCTGCATCAGCCTCAGCCTCAGCCTCAGCCTGCCTCAGCATCAGCCTGCCTCAGCCTCAGCCTCAGCCTGCCTCAGCCTCAGCCTCAGCCTGCTTCAGCCTCAGCCTCAGTCTGCCTTCAGCCTCGGCCTCAGCCTCAGCCTGCCTCAGCCTCAGCCTGCCTCAGCCTCAGCATCAGCCTGCCTCAGCATTCAAAATGTGGGCACAGTTGGCCATGCCCAGGAATGGAGTTCTGGGAACTCGAAGACCACGAAGTGGCCTACAGTTGGCTCCGGGCATTCAAAATCATGCCCAGGAATGGAGTTCTGGGAACTCGAAGAACACGAAGTGGCCTACAGTTGGTTCCGGGCATTCCAAATCATGCCCAGGAATGGAGTTCTGGGAACTCGAAGACCACGAAGTGCGATATTGTTGGCTTAAAAAGGAGTCCCCGGATTCCCGGGACACCCGCCCGGCATTTGCCCAGACACCCCTAGGGAGTCATGATGCTCCTTTTGACCCTACTAGAAACCTATCAGTCTTCGCTGTGAGGTAAAAATCGCAGAAGCGGGAACGAAGGCTTGATTTGAAAACCGTCGCGAAACCATGTATGTTTGAAATGCTTGCGTGGCTCTGCATGTTGAAATCCTCGCGGAACGCATGGCTTTCGAAGGATGCCAGGACGCACGCGCGACGACGCGCGCGCGCACTTCGTCACACGCGGCGCAAGGGAGCCTTGAAAAATAATGGTTTTGGTAAACGAGTACACGCGCGCAACAGCGTTCACAGATGGCGCGGGAGAGGCCGAACTCCGGCCTGCCTGGGATGGCATGAACTCATAATCCGGATGCACGGTGGGTCAGAACCACATGTACATCGCAAGGCGAAAAGACGTACCGCTCAGTCGGGGGGGAGGTAGATACCAATCCGCCGTTCGCAAGGAGCTTGGAAAGGAGGATTCATTTGCACAGACGAACTAACACATTCCGGGCCCATGCAACACCCCACCCACCCACCCGCAACTTGGTTTCCAAAACCCACGCTGCGGCGATTGCGATGAATGCTCGGCGTTGGCCGGCGCATCTCTGCGGCAACGCTAGCCCGCGCATGCTCGCGCGCAAAGCGGCCAGAGAGTTCGGCGCGACCGACGTGGCCGCTGTGGCGCTGAACGCTGGGCGCTTCCCAGCGGGCACTTCAATGCGGGTCGGTGACTTGGGCGGGCACGGCATCGCGGCGACGCCGACAACGGTAAATAAGATTGTGAAAGCAGCGACGACGGCGACGATGGCAGCGACGCCGACGGCCATGCCAAGGACGGCGCCGACGTTGA